TTATAGAAGAATTCAATTCTGTATACCTTTATTGAGTACCTCAGCTGCACAAGGTACTGCTGTGTTGTGGGGCTACAAAGATAATTACAAAAGTGTCCAGGGTGTTTGACATAAGAACTATTTGCTATTATTTTCACTTGGAAACCCAAATTTGTTTAATGAGAATAGTTACGAATGGAAAGGTAAGTTGTACAGACAACGATTTAGCATATCAGAATGAAGTGGAATGCTCACAAACTAATCTTGAAACATATTAGCCCACTGCTTTGCACTTTAGCACTGTGATTTGATTGGCATCTTGAAGGATAAATAGGCTGAGACAGCTACAGGGAAGGCAACATTCCTGGGGCGAGTTGTCTGAGCAAGGACTCCCAGCAGAGGGTGGGATTGGCCTTTCCTTTGTTTATAATTAAATGAAAATAAAACCATGCCAGCACTTCTAGTTAGATACTTTCAGCTGATGTGTGCCTCTCCTCTTTACTGTATTAAATTTTTTCATGCTTTATGAATCTCATTTGAGATGCAAGCAGTCATGGACTTTGACTTAAATATCTTCTAAGTTTTAATACCCATGTCTTTTCTCAGTTAGTTAGATAATATGCCATGTACCAGTTTGGTTATAAATTAGACTCCGAGCCTCCTTGAGCAGTCTAGTAAGTGTGGGGACCTTTGTTAGAAAGGGACCTGGTATGTCAGTGAATGTGTGAATGAATCGATGTAAATTCAACACCATTTTGAGCACAGGTTGTCCTGATTGCTTTGAAGTAGTATGTTTGTGTGTGCATGTTCTGCACATTATGTTTTATCACTAAAATTATCTATTTGGCGTAGATACTAACTATGTATTAATTGATAAAAATACAGACCTCAAACTTTAGAGTTGCGCAAATATCTTATTAAGGTAGCATGTAAATATTTAATTATTTTTCAGCTACCAACCAATAGTTGACTACATAGATGCTCAGTTTGAGGCCTATCTCCAAGAAGAACTGAAGATTAAGCGTTCTCTCTTTAACTACCATGATTCTCGCATCCATG